TGTACATAGATAAAGGAGATGGATGACACGAGAACTGTGCCTCTTTTTTTGCGTATGTCATTTTTTCTTCAATAGTACGCCAGCACAGTTTTCCTAGATTATTATACTCTCATGTAATTTTTTTCTTTAACAATACGCCAGTATAATTTTCTTCAAATGATTACGTTCCAATTATTTTATTAGCTATTTTTTCTTTAATATTACGAGCTTTTACTATAGTTTCTCGTAAGTGGTTACGAAAACATAATCATTTTTGCGAAACTTTCGCGAATTAATTTTTCTTTGTCATATTTTGTTCGGAATAGTACGAACTAATGACTACATTCGTACGTATGTTATATTGTTTTTTTTAACAGTACTATAGTTTCTCGTAATTGATTACGCTGTCATTTTTTGAGACAGTAAGCCACTATAGTTCCTCAGGCAAAAAAAGTTGCCCACTACTTTGTGTCGAGAAGAAGGCATTAAAAAAATATGAAAAAAAAAATATATATATATATATATATCTAGAAAGTAAAAGGTTCCAAAGCAATGAAAATTCTAAAGTAATGAATAAGGAAAATATAATAGTAATTCTAAATAAATGTTATTAGGTGTAGTGCATACAAGTATAATACATGTCAGTCTGCATTATCTTAGTTTGTGTCTCTCTTTCCACTCTATTTTCATTTACATATAAGTACATGTCAGTCTGCCCTATCGTATCTATTTTTATTTAAGTATAAATACATGTCAGTCTGTCTTATCGTATCTATTTTCATTTACTAATCGGTTCATTTACTAATCTGTCACGTATCATTTGTTGTTCTTCTCTGTGTTTGATGTTGAACGATTGTTTTAAATACACGAAATATACGCTTTAAATAAACGAAATAAAACGGGAAAAGTAAACTGTAAGGGATAATGAAAGTGTACATAGATAAAAAAGGAGAACGACACGAGAACTGTGACTCTTGAAGCAGAACGAACTTCTGTTTCGCAAATTTGTGGCGCTGTCAGTTGAATTTTTCGCGTATGTCATTTTTTCTTTAATAGTATTTCAGTATAGTTTTTCCTAGACTGTGCTCTCGTGTAATTTTTTCTTTAACAGTACCCCAGTATAATTTCTCTCAAATGATTGCGCTTCAGTTATTTTTTCTTTAATAGTATGATTTTTTACTATAGTTTCTCGTAAGTGCTTACGAAAGTCGTAATCATTTTCGCGAAACTATTAAATTTTTTTTTTATATTCATTTTTTTTCTAATATATATGTCACTGTAGTTTTACCAAAATGATTACATTCCTGCGTATGTCATTTTTTCTTTAAGAGCACGCCATTACAGTTTCTCCTAAATTACGATTACGCTCCAATGTTTTTTCCTTTAACAGTATGGTTTTTCACTATAGTTTTTCGTAAGTGTTTGCGAAAACATAATCATTTTCGCGAAATTATTAATTCTTTTTTCATGTCCATTTTTTTTTCTAATAGTACGTCACTATAGTTTCTCCTAAATGATTACACTCTTGCGTATGTCATTTTTTTCTTTGACAGTAAGCCACTGTAGTTTCTCAGGTAAAGTTGCATTATTGTGTCGTTTTTCGAGAAAAAGGCAGGAAATGAAAACGAAAAGTAGAAAATATATATATATATATAGATAGATATCTAGAAAGTAGAAATATAAAAATAGATAGTTATAATAAAGCAATAATTAAGAAAAGAAAATAATTGTAAGTAAATATCGTTTAGTGTTAATTACAGCAAAGTCAGTCTGCTCTATCTCATCTAGTATCACTTAGTATAATTATATGTCAGTCTGCCCTATCCTATCAATTTTCACTTATGTATAAGTACATGTCAGTCTAGCTGTACAGTAAGTCAGTCTGCTCTATCTTATCCAGTTTCACTTATGTATAAATATATGTCAGTCTGCCCTATCCTATCTATTTTCACTTACGTATAAGTAGTATGTGTCAGTCTGTCTTATCTTATTTACTAATCAGTTATTTTCATTTACTAATCAATTCACTTGCTAATCTGTCTTCACGCATCATTTGATGTTCTCTTCTGCGTTTGATGTTGAATGCTTGTTTTAAATAAATACTAAATAAACGCTTTAAATAAACGAAATAAAAAGGGAGAAGTGAATTGTAAGAGATATAGAGACTCAACAGAGAGAAAAGGGAACTGTAACTCTTAAAGTAGAACAAACTTCTGTTTCGCGAATTTATGGCGCTGTCAGGTGAATTTTTCGCGTGTGTCGTTTTTTCTTCAATAGTATTGGTTAGCCACAATAGTTTCATTTCAATAGCCACCATAGTTTGGGTGAATTTTTCGCGTGTGTCGTTTTTCCTTCAATAGTATTAGTTAGCCACAATAGTTTCATTTCAATAGCCACCATAGTTGATCTCAAATGATTACGCCTCCACGTATGTTATTTTTTTCTTTTTACAGTCGCCACTGTAATTTCTCAGTCGCAAAAAATTGCATACATCGTTATGCCGTTTCTCGAATTCTTTATTCGGGAGACTTTTTCATTTATTCATCCTCTCAATATCAAAAACTTTAATTTATTCACGATTTATTCTAATGTAGTTATTTAGTATGAATTTCCATAACTAAAAGGTTAATTGGGGGCAGTCCGGTTGCAGCTTGGGCGAAACTTGCAAAAAATACAGCCAAAAATATTATGTTTTTTTCCTTTTTTTCAATCATTGTTGCTATTGTTTCACCTATCGTCCCTCTCGGCTAGGTAATTCAAATTCATGCGTAGTGAAACCACTCTACCCTCAATCTCTTATGTGCTATTTGGAGAACTTTTGCTGATAGGAAAAAAAATTTGTTAAACAGATGTTAAACTCGAATGATTTATTAATCAGTACGTATTAATTAGATTGTATTAATCAGTAACGTATCAATTAAAATGCATCATTTCGGGAAAAGAAAATTTCTTTAATTGTACGAATTTCTTTAATTGACTTTTTTTATATATTTTCTTAGAATATTTGCCAGCTGTCGCATTTTCTTTCGATAATAAAAACCATTCGATTTTCGTCGAATAGATTCATTTCAAATAAACTCGTTCGCGAGATAGCTATTAAGTAGGTTGAGCTTCCTAGGGTGATTTTGCCCCTTGAATTTGCGTCATCATGGCAGAAGAAAAAGATCCCCCCTTGGCTGTATAGTATCATCGAAGTTGTAGCCGGGCAGTCCCCTTATTACCCCCCCCCCCCTCCCCCAGAAAAGAAACATAATCAGGACAAAAAATCGAATCAAAATTCATTAATTTGTTCTATGACAATACCCGATCAAAAAGAAAACAAAAAAAGACGAAAAAAAAAAAAAAAAAAAAAAAAAAAAAAGAAAAAAAAAAAAAAAAAAAAAAGGAAACTAATTAAACGAAGCTGGGATCAAGCTGTAACTTTTGTCCCCTCTCCTGAGGGTGTAATCCTCGCAGTGAATGTTCCTTCCGATTCAATTCAACTAACAGCGAAAACAGAGAGTCACACCGCGAAGGATTCGCGGTGGAAACCGATTGAATACCGGGGGGCGAAACCATTTACGCGCTCGTCCATTATTATGCGAACATCCAAATTAATTCCAGGTAAACAAAAAAAAAAAAAACACGTCGACGTTAAAAAATTTGTTCAAATTGGCAAAAAAAACAGAACATCAACGAGCAAAAATGAGAAACGCGTTTCTCGCATGGACGGGCGCATAAACGGCGTGAACAGGCACGCGAGGAAGTTCGCGCGTGCACCGGTGTATCAAAATCTCGCCTGAACAGAGTAAAGTATAACAGAGTGACAGAAAAGAAAAGGATAAGAGTAGAGGGTAGAATGGAGAAAAGATAGTAGAGAAACAACCGTAACACCAGGCGCGAGATCTCGACACCAGCAGGCTGCATCCGCGAGGCTGTCGCACGTCGACTAAATTCGACTAAATGCGTGTAAAGACGAGGAAGGAATCGGTGTGCAGACACGAGGGTCAGATTGTCAGAGAGAGCGTGAGCAGCAGAGTCGAAAAAAGTTCGGTGAGAAACAATTTCCGTGAGACAAGCCTCCGCGACTCGAGTTCAACGCGAGTGTGTGTAACACCCACTAGCAGCCTGCGAGGTGAAACTCTTGGACAGATTACATAGAACTTCTCCGTGAAAAGGAATAATTCGCGGTAGGATTGACTAAGTTTCGAACTTAGAAGATCATTTCCAGCGAATCGCGGTTCGCGCGATAACCCAGCCGAAATTCACGGCTCGCGAAGACGCAATTACTTTAATCGCGTTAAACGGGGGGAAGTAGAGTCCGAACCTGTGCGGGGTTGAATCATACTCGAATTCAATTCTATTTCAACCCCGGGTGACAACTTTCCGGCGTTGCCAAAGTATGAAAAAGTTCGTCACGACACTGTTGATACAATATGAAGGCAGAAGGAGCTTCGCGACTCCGGATGTGCCATGGATATCAACAGATTCTGCGAGCGAAGCTGACGAAGATGAGCGTGTGGCAGAACACGCTGGTTCCGCGTTTCGCGTTTCAAAACCCCCATCCTTTTCATCCCAACCCCCTTTTCGCGTGTGGTTTGAGTTTTTACCCCCAGCACCTCCCCCTTCTTCTACCTCCTACCCATATTCGCCTTTCACCAACCTGTCCCAACTAACGCTAACATAGAGACACGATTAGACTCTAACACACTGGCACACACTGGCGAGGAGTGTGACACGAGGATCGGGCGCGTCGCGAGACCGATACATGAAGAAAAAAAACGAGCGGCCGGAGCGAGCAACAGCTCTGGCGACAACTCGATGGACCACGCGTGGATAAACTATGGCCCGCGAGTCCGCGACGCGCGTATAAGCAATAACAGTATATCTAGCATATATATTTATATATAAAACACATACACAACACACACACACACACACACACACACACACGCCACACCGACACGCGCCGAAAAAAAGCAAGTGGCCGTGTGTGGCCCGCTTGAAACCAGCCTACAAACGCTACTTGTGAATCTCTGCAGAAGAGGATTGGGAACGCGAATTGGAAGCGGAACTAAAGGATTACGAGGTAGTGACAGGTAACGAGGAGAGGAACACCGTGGCGATGCCGGTCAGAAGCGGCGACGTGTTGGACAAAGATTGGGAGAGACAGATCGACGAGCTGCTAGCGAACGACGACGAAGAAGAAGGGGACCTCAAGTAAACGGAATTACAATCAGACGTTGCGATCTTGTCTGCGTTCTCAGATCATCCGCGAGGACGATTAGGACGTCGTTAGAGTGAGTGAATGAGCGAGTCTGCTGCGGTTGTCGCGTGTTTTCTCTCTCTCGTCGATCCACCGCCAATCGAACCCGAAGAGGCAAAGAGGGTGGCAAGGGTGACGATTCTTTCTGCTTTTTCTCCTCTTTTAGCTCTCCCCTAACCGTTGTCACAATTGTTTAGGGAGGAGGAACAACGTTTGGCAGAAGGATCGACGAAGTGAGAACTGTTCGAGATGTTGTCAATGCTACGTGGAACGATAACAATGTTACGAGACTAGGATGCCGAAGACTCTCGCGGCTCCCGCGGGCCACGGGCAGACATTTCACCTTTTCTACTTTGCTGAGCGGCCCCCTCCATAACTACTAGACTTTGAAAAATCCTCCTCCTCTGCTTACCACAGATTTACGCGTACTTGCAGGAATTCCTGGCCAAAAAGTTGGCGACGTATGAGTTTAATTTAATAAAAAAAAAAAACAATTCGGACAAGCCTAGGATAAAAATATGAATTGGAAATATAGTAAATAAAATAAGATGTAGGTGCGAGCAAATACGTGGTAATCAGAAAGGAAGGAATCCGACAGTGTCTCTAAAGTCTTGTTGGCACGGTGTGGGCCGCCGGTAAGGCAGAAGGGGAGAAGTGTTTGTCCGTGGCCCGCGGGTTTATTATTATCCTAGTTGTAAGGTCTGCGAAAAAAGCGAAACAGAGGCGAGAGGAAACGCGAGAGAGAGTCTGATCAAGTCTGATGTTTCTTTTGGTCTTTTGTTTTTTTGTTTTTTTTTAACTGAGAACAGAGGAAAGAGACAAAAGACGAGAGAAAAGAGAGGAAAGACGTAAGGAGAGAGAGAGAGTAAGGCCACGTTTGACTGCATATTTTTTTTTTTCCTGACCGGAAGCAGAGACAGTGAGAAGACAGAAAGAGAAAGAGAGTGAGGCCACATTTGACTACATCTTTCTTTCTTATTTCTTTTCTAACCGGAAACAGAGACAGAGAGAAGGAAACGAGAATGGGACCACGGTCTGACTACATCCTTTTTTCATTATTTTTTTTTCTAACCATAAACAGAAATAGAGAGAAGGAAAACAGAGCGAGACCACGTCTGACTTTTTTTTAATTTTTTTTTCTAACCAGAAACAGAGATAGAGAGAAGGAAACGAGAATGGGACCACGGTCTGGCTACATCTTTTTTTTTATTATTTTTTTTTTTTTCTAACCAGAAACAGAAATAGAGAGAAGGAATAGAGAGTGAGAGCACGTCTGGCTACATCTTTTTTTATTATTTTTTTTCTAACCAGAAACAGAGATGGAGAGAAGGAAACGAGAATGGGACCACGGTCTGGCTACATCTTTTTTTTATTATTTTTTTTTTCTAACTACAAACAGAGACAGAGAGAAGGAAAACAGAGTGAGACCACGTCTGGCTACATCTTTTTTTATTATTTTTTTTTTTTCTAGCCAGAAACAGAGATAGAGAGAAGGAAAAGAAAATGGGACCACGTCTGACTATATCTTTTTTTCTTATTTTTTTTTTTCTAACCAGAAACAGAGTTACAGAGAGAAGGGAATCAGAGTGAGACCACGTCTGGCCGCATCTTTTTTTCTAATTTTCTTTCTAACCGAGAACAGGGACAGAAAGGAAACAGAGGGGAAATGAGAGTGAGACCACCTACATCTTTTTTTTTTTATTTCTTTTTCGGACCAAGAACAGAGACAAAGAGAAAACAGAAGGGAAATGAGAGCGAGACCACGTCTGACTACATCTTTTTTTTTCTTATTTCTTTTTCTAACCGAAAACACAGAGAAAGAGAGAGAGAGAGAGAGAGAGAGAGAGAGAGAGAAACAATGAAAAGGAAAAGCTTAAAAAGAAAGAAGGAATCTGTTCTGCGTTTTTCTTTCGATAGGGTGCTTTCTTCGACAGCACGTACGTTTGTTGTTCCTCGAGTACGATGAAGATGAAAAAAAAAAAAGTAAAGAGAAAGAAAGAGAGGAAGGGAAATGGTAATCGATAGATCGTAAAAAAAAAAAAAAAATTGTCGTTTCGATTGATGTTGCTTCTCGAACCTCCGTCGATAATTCCATCCATCGATGATCCGTGAATCGTTCAAACGGTAAACGGATGAGCACGTGAGAAGCATACATATATCTTTAACGTTACACTTACATATGTCAATTGCTAGATGAAGCGCCCTCTATTAGACCAGAGCGAATATATATAAGACTTAAAAAAGTTAAAAAAAAAAAAAAAAAAAATCCCAACATTCCAAACTTTCTCCTTATATTAATTATTATTTATGTTCAATTTTATTTGAGCAACGAAAACAATTAAAAGAATAAGCATTCTTGAATCTCTCATATATGTGTTAAAATCATGTACGTGTCAAAATACGTGTTATGTGTACAAGATACGTGTTATATGTTCAAAATACGTGTTATATGTGCAAAATACGTGTTATATGTGCAAAATACGTGTTATATGTGCAAAATACATGTTAGTAGAGAATATAGACAAATATATATACATATATATACACATACACAAAAAAATTTCAAAAAATTCAAAAAAAAATTCAAAAAAAAAAATTCAAAACTTTCTGCTTGTACTTGGAAAAAAAAAAAATTAACTGTATGTTACTTTCGTGTGTATTATGCAAACATTACTGTATTAACAGAGTAGTATATAAATAGAAATATAAACATATATATATATATGTGTGAACATATAAAAATGAAAAAAAAAAATATAAAAAAAATTGGAAAGAAGAACTGTCGAAAAACGTCTTCATCAAGCTCGAGGAATATCCGAAGTGACATATTTACACTGCCGTGTGGTCAAAAGAGACTGTTCGAGTGTGTCGAATATCGTCGGCTTTATTTTTTCCCCGAAAAAGAAAAAAAAAAAGAAGAAAAAGAGAAAATTAAGGAACAATTAAGAAGCGATGGTTACGTTTTCTACGCGACGATCCCCTTGCATTTGTTATTCGTTGACGTTACACGCCAAAGATGAATTTAATTTGACGAGAAATCAAGAGCGGAGGGAAGAAATTAAATTGGCAAAGATCCATGCGTATTAACGTTTTTAATATTATATCATTATTATTATTATTATACAAGTGTAATTATTATCATCATCGGGCGCGTTTGTTGATGTTGCGTCGCGAGAGACACGTTGTTTTTTTGCGTTGAGAGTTGCCCAAATATTTATTATATTAAGTGTTTGTAATAACCGCGCCGCGATGTGTTGAACGTGTTTTAGTATGCGGCCGAGTGTCCACGTGACGTTGAGAGGGAGTTCAAATTGTCAATAGAACCAATTAAGAAAAATGAGTTGATCAATAACAAACGGAAAACGAACACTCTCTTGATATGATTTCCTCTCAATGCTTTCACCTTCTGGCAAACAAGTTCTCTTTGGTGTAATCAAATGAAAAAAAAAAAAAAAGAAAAGAAAAGAATTAAAGAAAAAAGAAAAAAAAAAAAAGAGTCGCTATGGATCAAATTTAGCATTGTTTGACGACACGAAATCTTTTGTCTTCATTAAAGCGTGCCTTCGCGCGTCACGTGTGCATTCTACGATCGATGAGAGGATATTAGAATGATACGATTGTTGTGCAAGAGAAGAAGAGGGGTGTGTGCTGTCTTGCTATCGATGGAAACGAAAGTCTAAGGAGATTGACCCGGAATCGAAAAAGAGAGACCACGATGCGTATTGTATTTGAGATATGGAATATTGCACGAGATATTTGAGAGAGAGATGGTTAACGTGCCAGAAGAAGCGAAGCACTTTCGGTTTATGACGATCGTTTTGCGTACACCATGTTGAGTCCAGATTTTTTCGTCAATTCTTCTCGGAGATTTTGTATGTTATCCTTTTAATCCGTGCATCGACCGACTCGACGCTCGCGAGAGTTAAAGAAAAAAAAATATACATATATATATACGTTACGTATGAAAAAAATAATTGAGTACATTTAGTTTAGAGATTCTTGAAGGGAGTAGAATATAAATTTGTGAAAGGACTTGATTCTGAGCTCAACGCTGGTTCACCGAGTGCGCGTGTTTCACCCAGCTCTCTGTGAAACTTTCATTCGTACTAGTTGTTAGATCGATGTGTAACATGTATGTTGTATGTCAAAATATATACTATATATGTATGTGTGTACACATATATTAACGTTATGCGTTAATTAGGCCTGAGTTTGTTAACATGTTAATGAAAGACAGGAATGCGCGGCCTCCATATACATACATATGGACGTCAAGGACAAAACGCGTTTGGTAATGTGTGATTCCTCATCCGAGGCAACATCGGGAAGAACGAGAACGATATACGTAAATCGCAATGTTGAATGTGTCTTTCATTGACAAACTAATTTATTATTATTGTATTCTATGATTCTATGATTGTATAATTCTGATCCTATGATTTCATGATTGTATAATTCTGATCCTATGATTTTATGATTGTATAATTCTCTGATTCTATGATTCCATGATTCTATGATTCTATGATTGTATAATTCTATGATTCTATTCATGAAGCGATCCCTATTATATTTCTTGCACGCGTGCATATTAAGGTTGCCAGTTTTTTGAGCGTTTTATGTATGTTTTTTCTCAACTGATAATGGAAGAAAAAATACATGTTCGCAAGTCCTTCATCTTTTAAATGTATACTGGAACAATATATATCAATATATAATATTAAATGTATCAGTGGTGTCTTTTTCTCAATATAAAGAAACTCCCCCGCCAAAACCATAAAAGAAAAAAAAAATATGAAAAAAAAATGAATCCTTGTGGTGTGCTTTGGCAACCCTCCTATTTTAAAACTCTGTGAATTGTGTAATAAAAGTTATCCTATATGTGATATATAATGCATTTATTTATATTACAATATAAATCCGTTACGTATATATGAAATGATATACATAATATATATATACGTATATGAAAGTATAAATAAATAAATAAATATATCTGGTTAATTCCATTGAAAGTATATTACAAATATTAAATGAGAGTATAAAGAGAATAAATATTAATTACGGAACTATTAAGAGAATAATCAATAAATATGGAATGTAACAAAAGTCTTGTACTTCGTAAGAAATAAATTGAAAAAATATCATAAATAAGCTAGTAAATGTTTTACCTATCCAAAGCTCCTCCAAATACCAATAAAAGTTTTTTTTATGTTTAGAAACACAGAAAATATAAACTTTTGGTTTAAGCTAGTGATTGCAGTGTTAATATTAAAAACACCATACTTAAAAAATACATTATTTTAATCTGAAGTACAAAAATTAAAAAAATATAATACTGTTCATACACAACTTATATTTAATTATTGCGAACTATTTACAACATATCATTTTCGTCTACTTCTTAAATTACGTGTTTGTACCGATGGCGTGATCGCTGTTGTACTCTAAACAAACAAACAATACACAAAAGAAATAGATACATTCAATAGATTATAGAAATTTTAAAAATTTACCTCAAGTGGTTCTATATCTTGGAAAGACTCGTCATCTGTAACGTACAGTTTTTTTCTACGGGTATTTTTTTTCTTTTCTGAAGGTTCCCGAGATGATGCTTGTATATTAGTACGTTTTGCACTTCGTCTAAAATATAAAAATATGTTTCAGTATCAACTTTTAACTTTTAAATTTTTTGACTTTTAATTTTTCATGTAATTTACTTCGATTCAGAACCAGAAAGCTCGATTACTGAAACTTCATCCTGTTTCGGAGACGATGCAACCTTCCTTGGCGGACGTCTCAATCGACGGTCCTTAATGACTTCGTCTTCAGACGTATTTCCACAATAGTCTTTTGCTTTTGAAGGATTCTTTGTTACCTGCAAAGGAACAAAAGTTATTAAATAAGGTTCGTTGTATTATATTAAATTCTATAATAGAAATACCTTTTGCTTTTCCAATTCCTCTTGTTGACTTTTTACTAAACTTTCATACTTTGCCACCATCTCGTCTCTGTTTTTCATAAATGCATTCATTTCACGCTCTTTCTCAATCAGACTATTCTTCAGTTCTTCATTCATATTTTTTAATCTTTCATTTTCTGTTTTTTTCTCTTGAGCACAAAGATCCAATATTTTGGTTTTCTCTTCGTTGTGTTTAATACGGATCTGTAACTGCTCAATATACTCTTCTTTTCGCAAAAGCATTTCTTTCGTCTCTGTTAGATTCTTAATTGTACTCTTCATTTCTAGTTCCATTAATTTATCACTTTTATCGTCAATTTCTTCGTTTTTCTGTATCATACATTTCATTTCTGTAATAATCCCAAATATAATGCTTTTGAATATTGATATTGCTTACTGTAATAATAAGATCTTGTATGAAATTATCAGGTATTAAACTAACCTTTTTGAAGGGAAATTATTTCAGCATCTTTTTCTTGCTCTTTTTCCTCCGCTTGTTCCAAACGATCTTCTAAATCTAGAAGTTTGTCATTATTCTCATCCAATAATTTTTGTAGTTGAGCTTTTTCGCTTTGACACGTTTCTAAATTCTTATTTAATTCATGAATCTTTTCCTGAAGCTCAGTTATATTTTCCAGATTATGTTCTAGCTGCTGTAATTTAGCAGCCTGAGCATCCAAACACTACAATTTTATTCAAAATAATTATTATATAAATTTTAATGAAGGAAGCATACCTACATGTTTATATAAATTTATTTAAGTACCTGCGATTTGATATTGTCCTTTTCTATTGCATATGATAATTCGTTCTGTAAGTTATTCAATGCTTTTTCATGTTCCGTTGTACACTAAAATAACAAACAGATTAAATATATGGAAAGGACAGTGATATTATGTTCACATACCTTCGAAATATGACTATCAAAACCTGCTTTCAACGCGTTCAATTTCTGTAAAATATAATTTTTTTTTTTTGTTAAATACCATATTTGTATAAAAAATTGTTACAGAATTATGAAAAGTAACGTACTTCTGTACACTGATTATAATCACTTTTAGCAAGAGACAGTTGTTGTTCATTTTCATTAAGTCGTCGTTCGTAATCGCTAATTTTTATTTCTAAAGAAAACTTAATATTGTCAGTACTTTTTAATGTCTCTTCAATCTGCATTTTATCTTCCTTTACTAAAGAAAGTTCTTTTTGAAGCAAATCAATCGATCGTTTATATTCTTCTGCATTAGTCTTATTGGCAGTATTTACTTCATTAAGTTTTTCTTTTAAAGTTAGTACTTCTTGATTCTTTTCTTCGAACAACTTAAAAACAAAAAAAAAAAAAAACAAGAAAATAATTATATAAAGATAAAAAAGAGATTATATTATAGTTTGTTACCAACCAGACATTTTTCTTCATAATGTGTCTTAATATCATCGTATTTTACCGTCAATTTTGCTAATTTATCTAATACGACATCGTAATCAGTTTCTTCAGTAAAACTTGTCTGATTAATCTCTTCTTTTTGTATTTTTTCAATGGTCTGACTACTTTTATTGAATACATTGTTCTGAGATGTTTGTACACAATTATCATTAAATTCTATATACGCTTGGCAACCTATCTCTATTGTTTCTACAGTTACTTCCTGTTTCACATTATCGTTAATATTATCTTTAGATTGCATATTATTTATTTTTAAATTACTTATTTGTTCAGATATATCTTTCAATTTGACTTTAGCAAATTCCAATTCTTGCTTCAAGCTTTTTATTTCAGTTGTACTTCGAACTAATTTTTCCTTCAAAGCAGAATTTTCTTTGTCTATGGTAAGTAGTTTTTCTTCCATTTGAGTATCAAATACATGTTCTACAGAATTAATAATATAAATAATAAATTACACTATATCTTAAAAAAAAAATTATATATATATACCTGTTTGTGTATCCTTATTATTTGAATTTATTATTACTACTTCTACTTTAAGGTCAGAAGATGAATCTGCTCCAATAAATATATTTTGATCTTCATCTTTAACGTCCTTATATTCCTACAACATAAATATTTACATTTATAGTAAACTTGAATACCGTGTCGTATACGCAGATAATTACATACATTATCTTTATATTCTAAGTCTGATTTTGTAGTTTTTGCAGCATCAACTGTCTTTCTAAATAATTCAAATTCGTCTAATAATAACAATTTTTCATTTTCCATTTTATTAATTTGCTCTTGCATATTTTGCACTTTGTTTTCATAATCTAGCATCTTTCTGTTCTGATTCTCTAATTTTTCTTCTAAAATATCAACTGCTTTAGTTTCTTCTGTTAAACATATGTTAATATGTGCAAGTTCTGCTTCTAAGTCGTCTATTGTTTCTTGTTTGTCTAATAACTCTTCTGTCTGCTCATTAATTATACGTTCTTTTTCTCTTCCGTGAGTTGTAATATCAATATACTCTTGTTTTGCCTCATTTAAAAATATTTTAAGTTTCTGAAATGACACGGATAACGAATTAAAAAATTTTAAACTATGAGAACTAAACAATAGTTATAAATACCTTAATCTGTTCCTCCTTAGTAGACAATTGAGATTTTAATTCTTCTATATAATGTTTTGTAGCTTCATCAGAACAGATGTCTTTTTGAGCCGCATTTAATAAATTATTCATATTTTTGAGATCTTCTTTTGTCAAACCAAGTTCAAAAGTTAGTTTATTTTTTTCGACTATTAAGTTCTGATTTGTTTCCTTAAATTCCTTTATGTTACTTTTTAAGAACATAATTTTCGATGTTAAATGTGAATTTTCAATTTCTAAATCATCAATATTTTTATCATCTGAATCATTAAAAGAACGTCTCCTTTTCCGACTACTAAGTTGTTCCAGTTTCTGTTTATAAAAATCTTCAACTTGTTTTACAGACAAGTGACATATATCTTCTTGTTGTTCTTCCACATTTTTAATTCTACTCCTACATTATATTTGACAAAATTTACATAAAAAATGTTAGTTTAGAAAAAAACAAGTGTAGTATATACCTCCACTCAGCTTCAAGGTCTTTCATCATAGATGTATACGTGTCAGCCAATTCTTGACGTATTTGAAGATCACGACTTAATGCAGAACTTTTCAAAGAAACGATTTCTTTTTTCAATCTTTCATTTTCACTTATTAACTCATTATAATCCTCTAGTTGAATATAACCCAAGTTATTATCAACTTGCCAATCTGTAAAAACAATCCAAAATTGTAAACTCTATTTATAAATTAACATTAATAATACAGAACATACCATCACTCTCTAACTCTGTAGCATCCCAGTCAGTTATTGTTCTTATACTCTGTGTAACTACTTGTGAAAATCTAGATTTAATTTTTTTCTGCGTTTTCTCTTTTTCTATAATTATTCTTTTTGCAATTGCAGAAAAATTAAGCACACTTTGCGTTTCTATGTACAAATTTGGTATAGGATTAATATTTACTATTAAAGCTATATGCTCTTTTCCAGATAATGCTTTCTGAAACAATCTTGTCAATTTTGATTCTCTGAATGGTCCAACATGTTCTATTTTCTGTTTTGATAATTGTCCCTCATGAATGGTTTTTAAACATCTTCCTAATACTAGAAGACTTGTATTAATATTTTGTGCTTCCTTCAATCTGTCTCCAATATTTAATGTTTTTTTTAATCGTTCTGATCCAGCCAAATCACAAAACGCAAATCTGTTATTTGAAAAAAGGCATATAACAGAGCACATAATTAAAATCTAACAAAAATAAAAAAGATTATGTTCTACGTACGTGCTAACTTCAACAGAACTGGGATCATTCTCAACATAATACTTCAATAATTTGATAGTGAATATACAGTGTGATCTTGAACTTCTTGCATTTAAAGCGGTTGCAGCTACTTTCAAGTTATATTGTCCTGCCATTAAAACTTGATAAGCCTCAGAACCAGAATTCACACAAACAGTCTTTAAGCCTTTAATAAATGCCCTCCCTTGACTGTCTGTAGCTAATTTAAGAGGTGTTCTCTTTTTCTGAGTTTCATTTGACAAAAGATCGTACACAATTTCATTGTAAATTTCTGCAAAAGAGACCCAAACAGAATAGTGTGCATCAATGCACTGACTAGGTCTAATAGATGATTCTTCTTGCAACAATTTTTGCATTTCTATATAAGCATTAATATATTGATATTTGTCTACAGACAAAAGTGTTAATAACTTGGTTTTTATTTCTAATTCTTGAGCGCGTTCAAGAGGATCCAAAGCAACAACATCACAGTGATTTATAGGTTTATAAGAAGGCATAGACTTTGGTGTAATATTTGAAAACACAAATTCTAAACATCTTGGTATTATGCCAGGAGATGTTGTAGTTCCTTGTAACGTATAAGATTTTCCAGAATTTGTAGTACCTATAAAATTACATTAGAATGATTTAAAAAAAATATTACATAAATCATTATGTAATAATTTAATTATAAAATGCATTTTAATTATGTTCACCATAAGTCATAATAGTAGAATTTTGTCCATCTATAAACTCTATCATTTGTTGCTTCACAGCTTGTTCAAATAACTGTAACTGAGTAGTTTCTGGTCCAAAAGTTTTGGTAAATGTAAATTTTCTACACACAATATCTGTACTATTGGATCTCTTGAGACAACTGGTATTATTATCTAATGTAGGCAATCTTGTAAACAAAGTAGTTGAATTGATAATTTTATATGCATTTTGTTGCTCTTCGGACAACTTTAACTTCTTAGGGAATGGTTTCATTCGTAGGTATACTTTAACTGTTTGTAAAATTTCTGATTCTGAATTCAAAGAACCACTTTGTACAGCATAATTGCATTCTTCACTCTCAGTCTCTGCCTCAGTTTCGTAGACAGAAAGTAAATTTTTTTTAGTTTCTTTTGAAAGACAGACTCTCCGTCCATAAGCTAATATACTAGGATCTCTTCCAAATAAGTATGACATGTCATCCTGAGTACTAGCATCAGACTGTCTAGCGGAATCTAATGTATTCTCCATCTATAAACGTTTAAAAAATATATGTCATTTTTTATATTAATCTTTATAACGTAGAAAATGAAAATTTTGTTCATAATTACATTTTCAATTAATTATGTCACACTAAAGATAAAATATCTTTGTACTTATTACATAAATCTTATTTAAATGTTTGCAAATCGCAAGAAAAATTAAACCTTCTACCATTACGTATTACTTGATATAAATTTTATTTTTAAATAAACTGACAACTTGTTTAAATATTTTAAATACGTACTTTTTAGCAGATCTATAATAGCTGCTTATAAAATATTAGTAAATAAACTAAACATTACACTGCATCTTGTTTTCACACCACGTTTATGAAACTACGTTTGTAAATCCACAGCAAACGGTTAATATTTTATTTTCAAATTTTGTCAGAAGAATGCTTTCTTCGGATTGGCAGAATTTTCCATGGACGTATTATTATCGCACATATAACATAACCAATAAAAATTAAGGCACAGTTTTCAAGACCAATAAGAATTAAGATATAAAATACTACATTCTGATTTGACAAAGCGTACCTAGCTTATATTTAAAAATTTATTTAACAAAAACATTTATATTTAAGGGGGCACTCTAGTGCGTGTTTTTTAATTTTATTAGGGAATTTTTTGCAAAGAAACTATTTGACCTTTTGCAGTTAAATTGACAAGGTTTATTTGTACGTATTTCAAAGACGTTTTAAAATTTTTTCGAACAAAAGAAATTACAATTAGTGGCACTGCATACTTTCAAACATAGTCGCTTTTAAAAAAGGTCGTCTCACGGTCCATGATTCCGGCGATTCTACTTGTCTGAAATAAAAAAACGTGAAAGTTCCTTAATTAATATGAATTTGGCTATAGCAGAACAAAAGAAAAAAGTCGATAATTAAAACAGTAGCGATACTTTGAAATTCAATTATCAATTTTTGCATGTTTTTGTTAAACTTCGGAAGCCTAAAAAATATAAAAAATAAAAATTTTTGGTTGATTCTGGTAGGGGCTGTAGTCACACATGTACTAAATGCGTACTTAAAATTTTGAGTCAATTAGTCAAGTAGATTTTGAGATGTCATGGACACCGTTCTGAAAAACATAGTTTCCAGAAAAATGCCTTTAAAGTTTAGTATTGCGGTAACAATGATGCTGGTCGTTGCGTCCTTCAAACAACCATAACTTCGTTAATTTTAGTTCACATGTAAGTTTCACAGAGATGTATTTTGGAAACTATGTCCTTTAAGAATATGAAAAAAAAATCGTTTTTTTTTTTAAGTTTCCACTAGAATACCCCATTAAGAAAATTAATATTATTATTTATTGTATTAATATTTATTGTATTAAAAATATGTAAATTATTAGGTAATAATATTTATATGATTATTTACACATTCTGCTGAATTAGATAAAGTAATTGTAATAAACCTATAACCACATTATTAAAATAAATCTTTATTACATTCATATAAATATTTACAGATCTCAAATTAAACGCATATATACATGTAGCAATTACTCTCTTTCTTCTGTTGTATTTATAATAACTTTAGGAATAAAAAATATATATTTTGGACATTCAAAGAAGTCCAAAATCATTAAAAATTATTTAAATAAACGATGTTAGGAGGAAACTTAGTTATAACAATATGCATAAATTATAAAATATTAAAAACATACTCATTTATAGAAAAGGAATATCATCAATATAGGAATACTAACGAGAGTTCATAAGTCTTTTGTTGCACCTATGAAATATTTCACGCACCATTATTGACTTGTGTATCACGTTTCATGTTACATGTAAAAAAAACATGTGGTCCTATAATATCCACATTGGAGTATTTAATTATTTGAATAAAAAATGAAATTACAAGTAAAAATGAATTACTTTTTCCAAAGTACATCAACACGGTTATTTTTCTAGTTTTATGTTTTACATATTTTAATTACTATTTTTTTTTCAATTCGAGTCAATCATTTATTATTTAACAATAGAGAGCAATTCTTGCAAATATTTTCAATCTAATTTTCTCTCTATCACATACTGGTAATTTTAAATTGTTTTCAAATGGCAATACCATTTAACGAGTTTTAAAATTAATACAATAATCGTAATGTCAAGATTCGTATTTTAAAATGTCTTTTAAATCATCTGGCAATGTATGCGTAATGTCGTTTATTCTTTCTTGAAGCTTTACTCTCACAGAATTATCTATAGGTACTTCATCAATATAAGTCTTTTCTAATTTTTGCCGAATTCTAAGAATCATATCTACCAATTCTACTTCTTGTTTTCCTTGCACCCAGGTTTTTAGATCCTATAATAATAGTAATTTGTTTAAAGAATAAAAAAAAAAAAAATAAATGCGAAAAAACAGATCAAAATTTTATTTTAAACATACCGCTTGTGATAATGCCTCAAGTTGTATGACTTCTAACTTTTGTGATAATTCTGTATGTCTAGTATAAAACCAACCGGAAAAGTTAGGTGATCGAAAAAATCGTCGATACAGTCCTACCCAATCTCCTTTTATGCCTGTTGTTAATTGTGGTCCAGCACTGCTTAAAGTAGCTAGGAAATCGTCTGGATTAAATAATTCGGGTATAGGAGTAGCCTAAAATAATTATATAAATTATATATTTCATAATTCTATCTGTTCAAAATATATACCAGACAAAATGATATTACTTTAAAAGGTGATATGTCTTTCTGTAATGGCATAAGACTTGCAATATATCTTTCAAGAGGTATCATAAAACTCTCAGTCAATTCTATCAAATGACGTTTTAAAAGAGCTGTTTGTACTTCTCCTGGTCTCTTTGTTTGAATACCTCTAAATAATTTTTTCAATATAGTTTTATCCTTCTGGAGGAAAGGTTTATACTGAGTATAAACTCCTGGTTTTGAATCTAATATTTTAAGATTCTCTGATTTCTTTATTTTGTATCTTTGATTCTCTAAAAATATAAGAAACTTAAATACTCTATATATACATAGTTTCATTAGAACTTACCATTATTAGTTCCGTTACTTATTCTTATAATGTGAGGCCAATGCTGTAGAGTTTTGGCAAAAAATGGATTAGTTACACCTAATATTACAGCAGGAGGTGCTGGAGCATCTGTAGTATATTCTTTAAATTCAGAATCATGGATTGTAAAATAAGGTCGATGATCAGCACAATATTTTAATGGTGCAATCATTCTAAAAAAAATAGTAAACCTTTCTATTTTATATTTTTTTTTTCATGGTTGTTTTTACTCATTTACGAAAATTAATAAAATACTCACGCAATAAGTGCTTGGACCATTTCAGAGCAACCAGTAGGCGAACCAGCCATAACAACAATTGGTTCACTGAGTAATACTAATTCCCATAATAAATGTACATAACTTACAACATTGGCTAAACTTCTAAACATATCTCCTTCATAGGCAGATGTTAAAATTAGTCTTCGCGTTTCATGAAAATTTGGCGCATGATCTATGGCAGCAATTGTAGGTGCAGTTGCTTTGTAGTTTTGATTTGGAATATATGTCTAAAATATAAACAATAAAAAATAATATATGACAAAAATAAGAAAAATTGAAATGCTTTACCTGAAACAAAACACCTAAAAGTGGTAGATGTACTATTTGACCAGGTGTTGGAGAAGGCCATCGATCAATTTCTGTTACGATAGCTTCCATCACTTTATTGCCCATTTCAAAAAACTCAGGTGCTATTAAAGCACATAATTCACCAAAGAGATTCACAAATGGCAGTTTTGTAATTATAACAATACTCTAGAATATAAATAAAATTATTATTTATGCTTCAAAATTTACATTTTTACTATTTTGTTTACTATTTTGTTAATGTATGAAATAAACCTTTTGAAAATATCCTCTTGGAAGAGACTTGTCTTTCACTTGACGGAAGTATACATAACCCCAATAATAATCTCTATCACATTGTAAAAATGAAGGTGACTTTCTGTCATATTCTTTTAAGGCTTTAGTTTCCTGAAGAATAGCTCCGTTCTGTCTTATTCTGACATGATATTGTGTATCTCCCATACAACCAGAGTTAGAATCAGGAAAAGCAAGATAACAAATGTTAGATCTCTCTTGTTCAGATAGTTTGATATGAGATGGATATATAGCCTATGTAATAAAACAAATATCATTAAAGATACAGAATGTTTACAAATGAATAACTGTGTTAAAAATTAAATATAAAATATACCTCTATAGCTTGGCCTAATTCAAGATCAAAAGTAACAATACATATACAATGTACCCAATTATGAAAACGTTCCCATTTTTCATATATCGTTTCCTCTTGGCTACTTATAGTATCCATCCTCCTAGTTTTGGAACAGGAAGCAACTGACATTTTATAAGAACTTGGTTAACATAACCACATATATGTTAAGGGACATGTCACACGCTGTCTTACTAAATGACAAGTTTAAAAGCTTCTGTTTAACTTGTAATTTAATATATGTATGTTACAACCTTTATAAAAGAATTTGTGTGCCTGAAAAGTTATTGTAAATATTGTTAATTTATGACAATATGTTAGCTTGTACGTTTGGCAATAAAGAACTTACAGCTTTGTTTAAGGTACACATTATTCCATGCCTCTGGATTAAAATTGTTTTCTAAGTAGATTTTCTCTCGATTTCAATAATTTCATAATTATTCATAACTCCGGCATATATATGTACATATATAATCTTTACCCTGTTTAATGATGTCTAGAAATATTTAATCCACTTCTACACTTTGTTTACTATTATTGAGCGCAGGAAGCAAAATGTCAGGGAAAATGTTAATTGAAGAATGAAAAAAAATCAGGTATCAAAAACACGAGGGTAATTACATGTACACTTATTTCATTATTGTTTACTATTTGCACACAGTTGTTAAAATGCCCACGTGTTTTCCATCTTGTGGCAATAATAATCTGCCAAGCATGTTAGTTGGACTTCAAAAACGATCGTGTGGCAATGAGGACGTTCATAGATTACGTTCGCACTAGTACTTTTCTTCGATGAGGGTATGTTCGTGTGTACGTATTCGACTTTCGAGCTCGCTTTATTGGAGAAAGTCTTCATAATGCTCGGTATCTATAACAATGATTATAACCTCTAAAACCAAACATACACGTACTTTCAGATATTTGACTTATCTGAGCACGTCAATTCTGTCAGATAACATCAGGCGAGAAGATATACTGTTTATATATAATTATTACAATCAGTGCAATTTTATTTCGCACTTGAGTCACAAGACATTTGCTTACTGCCCTATGCCTTTAACATTCAACCATAGCGGTACTGACGCTCAGCTTGAGTCATAAATTTATCTACATATGTATGTAATATACAAATCTCAGCAACTAAATTTGTTTCTTGTAATATTTACGCTTAAAAATATTGAAAAATATTTAAGTTTCTTGCAATACAAGATTATTTTGTCTTTTTCTTTTTCAGTCGCATTACATTTTGATTAAAATTATATTTCATCATATTTTAATAATTTATTTAATAATTTTTTTATTTAATTTTAAAAATATTTCAATAATATCTTGATATTATATTTCAATTAAAAATATATTATTTCTGCAAAGATAAAATTGTACCAAATATTTTTCTGTTATTTATTTTAGTAAATAACAAATTCAATATATTGAAAAAAAAATTTATACAACACTTATCTATCACAATAATTCATTAGAATTTTCATAACAAAATTACAAAATTCTGCTTTTTAATTGAATTAATGTATAGATAGAATATTGTACGAATGAGTATATAATAACTGTATGTATCGCACAAATTGAAAATCTTTATCGATGTGCGTGTACTATTCTACGCATGCATGTTACACCGGTATATTTCATATTGATCAAAATTTATAATTTGTAAGGCGATTGCAATATAGATAGTTAAATATATACAAATACACACACATATATATATAGATTATATAAAATCTTCTGCAAAATTAATTTTATTTTACAATAATTATAATAAAGAAAGTTATAATTTATCAATGGATACTATACATTTAATAAACATTTAAATAAAAATAGTCGTATCCTTACGTTCGTTTCCTAATTTATTTGTACAATTGTTCAAATCTGTATCTGCGCTTTAATTGTAATTTATTATTTATGAACAATATTCACATTAAATATAAGAAAGCATCTCTTTGCATTAACTTGATATCTCGATCGAACTTCATCAAAGATCGAACATGTGAACAAAAAATGATTCTATTTCTCTTTACTGAAAGACCGACAACAAAATTAATTACGAGAATGTCAAATTCAATTAGAATATGTACATACATGCGTATAAATGGATCTATTATACTAACAATAGAGCGAGTGGATACGCCCCTGGATGCACGATCGCGCGCGTGCTTAATCTTCGCGACTGTCACATTCTGTCAAGCCCGGTCGTCACCCTATGCTCATCAGTCATGCTATGTCTGACTGTAGGGAAATACAAATTCTAGCCATTAAGTGTCGCTCGGTGCGGTGCCAAACTATTTAAAAGAAAAAGGCGAACAAAGTGGCTTAACAATCACGATCAAACATGTACCGTATCTTTCCCAATCTAATAATCGATACGGGTGTGTCTACGCGCGTGTTCCGATACGTGACCAAGTATGTCAGTCAGTTTGTAAAAGAACAAGTTTATCGTAGCCGTAACAAGCATTAGGTTACCGATAAACGAAAAATTTCCTAACGATGTCAGCTGACATTCTGCAGGATAAGAGCGTAGCCTTGAACGGCAAGAATGACGTACCGGTAGTCTCGCAACCTATCACCAGGGGTGGACTTAGGGTTTACAAGATTGTTATTTTGGGCGACGGCGGTGTTGGTAAATCAGGTATAATCCAATTTAACTTTATCGTCGTTCAATCAGAAACATATATTGCGTTCACACGTACATCGTAGAAATCAATTTTTCAGCTGTCACATTGCAATTTGTCAGTCACAGCTTCCTTGATTATCATGATCCAACTATAGGTAAGAATTTATTTAGTATACATACATTGTTACAATAAAAGTTGGGAGATCTGAAGATATCTGTACAACTTCTTTCTCAGTATTTCTTAATTTCTGGCCGTTTAATATATTTTATTATTAACAGAGGATTCGTACCAGCAACAAGCGGTTATAGATGGCGAAGCTGCACTTTTGGATATATTAGACACTGCAGGACAAGTCTGTTCTTAATATGATTTCTTATGTTAAGAAAATAGTTTGTACTTTATTACTTTATGCATATATAAATGTTATATGTAATATAGTTTTTCATATGTAGGTGGAATTTACAGCTATGCGTGACCAATACATGAGATGCGGAGAAGGTTTTATGATATGTTATTCTGTGACGGACAGACGTAGCTTCCAGGAAGCTTTGGAATATCGAAAATTGATAACACGTGTGAGAGCTAATGAAGATATACCATTAGTATTAGTTGGCAATAAATTTGATTTGCAACGTCAGCGGAAGGTAGAACTTTAGTCTTCATCCTAGTTAGGATTAATTGTTTTTTTAATGTAGGAAACATGTTACAGGTTTCTACAGAAGAAGGAAAGGCACTTGCCGAACAGCTCGGTTGTCCTTTTTATGAAACGTCAGCAGCTCTTAGACAGTTTATAGATGATGCATTTTATTCATTAGTCAGGCAAATTCGGGCTAAAGAAAGGGCAAAAAATTCAGTACGTAAGCACAGTCGTTGGTGGCGGCTGCGTTCTATTCTTGCCTTTATTTTTAAAAGAAAGCAAAGACATCTCAACAATCATCATTATTCTCCTTAATCAATATATTTTCATAGATACCTTTTTTGATAGCTTTTATTTTGAATTAACATACTATACCAACATAAGCAGTCTAAAATTACACAACGAATGAAATTTTTTATGATTCTTTTATATTTTATAATAGTCTCTCAATCTAGGGATTAATTCACTAACATCTCACTGCCTTACCTTTAACCCCATTATATTTTAAATGTAGTAATGGAAACATGAAACATAGACTATAATTTATTATTTTTATTATAAATTTTACAGTAATAGCTTCTATTACATTGAGAAGTTACTTAAAACTTGTTTGAAAAGAGTAGGAAGTGAAATAATATAAAAGAAGAACTTCCAATATAAATGTAATAGACTGTTCTTAACTCTCTGTTTCCAAGGTCACTAGTTTCTTTATTATTATTTATTAAAAAGGCTATTAATATTATTTACAATATATCTTACTAAAAACAATAATTAGTAATTATAGTCCTTAGGAATTTTAATTTTGTTCTTTTTTTAAATATACAATTGCAGTGACCACTTAATATTTTCTCTTTAGTTAAAATTCTGATTGTTATTTTTATAATCGCTATTTTATATGACCAAAGAATTTAATATTTCATACTAAGGTAACATGAAATATTAAATGAAAATTTGTAAATGCAAAACATACTGTATATGCGAGATAAACGGAAAGCTTTATAATGCTAAATAATTGTTATATTATCGTAATCGTCTAAAGTTAACAATTAAAATTTGCTTATATTAATTTTTTAATTTCTACGGGAAAAAATGGAAATTGTGAATGATTTTATATCGAATTAAATCATTATAAAGTATATGAAAGTTATAATAATTTGAAAGTTTACAAATGTTATATATTTAAAAATTGCACAAAACGAACGATTTTTAAAACAATATTTTCCAATCAAAAAGAGTAACATAAATATATTTTTATGTTTAAGAATTAAACACATAATATTAGTAATGTATATGGTTACATAATAAGTCAATGATATTTTATGTTTATAGACCACTAATACTTTTAAAACGGCTCCTAAGAAAAATTGAATTTCTAACATTACAACTAATAGATTCTATTTTGATGATGTTTAATATTTGTTATTTATTGAAGATTTTAATTTTCGTGCAGCTTGAGATACATGATTTCTTTTTTAGAACATGTATATTATACATCAATTAAGATTAGTTATAAATTATAATATACGTTATATAGTTGCCAGATAACAGAACAATTCTGTAATAGCATACAGTCATAAAGAAAATTGTTAAATGTAAGTTTATGTATTAAATGTCTAGTCGTTACTTAATGTTTCCTAGTCAAATTTTGTATTTTATTGAATATGCAATAATTTACAGTTTACAAATGCCGTTATAAATTTTTATTGCACACAATTTAAAGTTTATATATTTATCATATCATTTATATATTTATCATATCTTATAAATATTTATACATGTTGGTATTATATTTGTTATAACATTTTATAAACAGTTTACTAATAAGAAACACTGATCATTAATGTTTAATCTATTTTATTAGCTAACAATAAATCCGAGTATTTTATTTTATAGAACAAGTACAAAGTATTATTGTCAAAACTGATAATTAATTACATCAATAATAGCTTTGTACTAATGCAGTAGAAAGTATTAATAAATACGAATTAATTGTATGTAGTAATTGAATATGTAATATGAAATCTGTGTAATATATATATTATGTAAAATGTGCTTAAACTATAAAAATTTATAATAATAACAAGAGACTATCTGTTTTAGTTATGTAATGTATTAGTTTTCTTTATATTTGTTTATAAATGAACGAGTTTACGCATATAAAACATGGAAACAATAAAAATGTAAAATGGAATTTTTAAAATAGCAGCGGCTATTCTGTCCATCGTATGTACTACATGTAAATCAAAAGGAATATACAAATATTAAGATGTATTATAAATAATGTAAATTCAAATCAATTCTGTATTTTAAAAAATACAAAAAGAAAATACATTTTACAATGATAATACAGCAGAATAATCAGACAAAATGTAATGTATATAATGTATTATCCCTCAAAAAAATTTTAATAGAAACAAAATTTTAAAAACGCACATATGCTCGTTTTGAAATTGAGCAACAAATTTGATATGACAAATTTATGTAAAATTAATATACGAATTGTGATTATAACACACTAATTGGAAATAAAATACAAATTGTAATTATATCAAAATATATAGTCTTGATAGACAAGTATTCTACGTGAGAAATTTACAATAGTATTACGTATCATAAGTATAGATTTGTAATTATATAATAATTATTATACAAAACTATTTTTGATAATTATTTGCGTACATTCAATGAACATTGAAAAAATTTTATTGATATTTCTGTTTACAGAATAAATATAAAACAGAATATTAAAAAACATCCATTTTATTTATTTACATTGATTTTAATAAGAAAAATATAACAGTATAAAGTAATGAACAAATGTGTAAAGTTATAAAAATTTGACATATAATTTGATGTATAATATAAACGCAATAAATTAATATTTTAAAAAATCTAAAAACAATTTTTTTCTATTTCTTTAAAATACATATATTTTAATTTATGTAATTGCATCATCAAAGATATTGCAAATATATTGTTTATTTTTAAACTCCTATCAATAATTATAAATGAATGATTATGAACTGTGTAAAGCATTCAAAACACTTTCTGTTTTGAAAAAAGTTATAATTCATTTATGTTTAATAAATGTGTGACATATAGCTTTCTTAATTATTGCGCGAAATATTTTTTTTTAATTCATTATCAATCTCCAATGGTTCCTCCATTTGTATGTTGATCTCTCCCACTTTCTACTATGTTCCCATCCGTAGTTTCTGTGTTTCCTGCTTTACTATTTTCTATGTAAGTTATAACAAAAATAAAATAATTTAAATTTTATCTTATTGTATTATGCTGTGAAATATTTACCAAACTCTGGATTGTCCTCTAGCTCTCCATTTGAGTCATTATTCTTTTGATTCTTTGGACTTGTTTGAGCTGAAAGTCATGTAAACTAAGTTATTATACTAACATAAAATGATAAAAGCATTTATAACAATTCGTAACATTTCATTTTACAAATAAAGTTTTAATAATCCCTATATTAGTGAATCCTCACCAATTAGTTACACATGTATATTAGTAACAATGTTTTATGATGCATACTAAATCTAAACAATAAATGAAATTATTAACATTGATATAGCTTTTATTTTTCAATATATAAGTACAAAGAATAAAATTGATATAAGTACAAAGAATAAAATTTTTAATTAAATATTATAAACATAAGTAAACTAAATCATCTTTATATTCTTTAATAATTTACAACAGAAACGAAAAGGATATTACAATTTAAAATCTAATGTATAACCCCTTCATTGTCAACGTTTAATACTTTTACTTTATATTATAGATGAAAATTTAATTGTTCACACATATTCATATCCTAAACCATTCTATGTGTTAAATAGATGAACAGTGCAATATACTTATTAAAAAGCCATTTGATTCAGATCTGACAATAGATGCATCAAATATACAATGATTTTATATACACAATTATTGAATGCTGTTTTATTAGACTGTTTTTACAGTCTTATTCTCTCCTGAGGTAGGAGAAAAGTATCACTACCTTTCAGGTTTGTAACAGAGAAGCGAGGACTTAGGCGCACAGCGCCAGGTGGGTCTTTTGGAAGAATTGGAATTCCATGATATTTCAAACCACGCTGACCAGCTAAGGATATTATTACAGCTGATTCCGGAACAGTACCCAACTGTATCTTGTTAATTACTTCTCTTGCAGCTAAATTGGCAAACCGCCAGAATATCACATAATGCTAAGTCAATTGAGTGCAAAAATTAAATAAAAGGAAAGCTGCATTAATGCTTCTATTAACATTATGAATATATTAGAATAATTTAGAGAGTTATTATTAGAAAATCTGTTTTGGGAGAAGCAAATGAAAAGTAATTCAACACAAATATTTAAATTATTTTGATTTTTAACTTGATTTCATACATACATGATATCAAACAAAAAAAAAAAAAAAATAAAACAAAAGTTAAAGAATGTATAAAGTGCAACTTACGTTGTAAGAGAGATATAGTTTTCTTTTGAGGATTTGGATTGCATGTAAGCTTAATTTTATCCTTTAGCTAAAAATATTAAACAGATATTAAAAATGTAAAATTTCAGAATTTTCTGCAATTAACTTTATACCTGCTCTATCTCTTCCTGCAACCTTTTATTTTCATCTCTTTTTGCATCTAATTGTGTATTGATGGTATTTTTTTCAAGTCTTAACGTTTCCAATGTTGCAGTTTTAGTAGCATCTAATTTGTTCAATGATTCCAATTCACTTTTGCATACATTAATAGAATCTTCCAATTCATCATTTTTCTTCTTCAACTCAGCTTGCTGTTCCAAACGTACATGAAGTGAATTTACTTCATCCTCTGCATGCTTGTATCTTTGTTGTAAAGTTCCGCGTAATGTAACACATTGATCTCTCTCTTCAGCACTGAAATGTAATTTTAATACAAACATTAACACAGTCCACCATACCACAAACATATAGTATTATAGACTTTTGTCAGTTGTTTAATCAAAAACTAATAAAGAAGCAATATGTTTTCCAAACTTCAAGATAGTGAAACATATTGCAAAAGTATACAATGTGAACATTCTTATTATAAATAAAAATCGAACTTCGAAAAATGCTGAGGAACAAAACATAATGCATTGGCTCGTGTGAAATTGTTTCGTAAAATGGTACCTAATTTTAAGCTGTTCGTTTAATTCATCGAACTGTCTAAGTAATTCAAAATTTTCAGAAGACAAAGTCCACCAGTTGCAAATTAGCATTAAACAAGCAGCGAGGAGCCCAGCAACGAGGAGGGGAGGACATCGGCCTCCTCCGACTCTCATACTGTCAATTCCCATTCCTTACTTATTTTTATATTTTATCCAATAGATACACACATGTGCGCCGCAAGTTTGCACGTATATGAAAAATCAATTCCCTCTGTATGTCAGTCGCGTTCTATTCGAAAAAAAACACAATACGAACAAGAGTGGCTGGCCTTATCAAGTGTCACGACCCATTACTTCAGTTCAATGCGATTTTAAAAACTAGCACTTTATTAACCTCCTTCCTCGGCGAGGTTCTCCCTTGATTTCAATTTTCACGAGATCTTCGCGAAGGAAAACACGTTTAACGTGTTGGTGGGCGTATCTGGTATACACTACCGGTATTGACAACGGTACATACACATTTTATCACAAAAAATACTAAATCACATTATACCAAATATCGAGGGATTTGTATTTATCTATTGGCAAACGTGACATCGACGCTTAAAACGATTTAGAATCAATGCGGTACATTCATCATGCTGGAATAACTAACAGTGACGATTGGAGAGACGGCTAACCGCAGCAAACACACGTATGCATCGTACACATGCACGCGTATATGCGCATATATGCACTAGAATCACACGCTTATATATTTTACATATACGTAGAACATAACACGAGTTGACTGGTAAACTTGGAATATACATAAAACAGATACAACAGGATATCGCCTTTTTACTTGTATGAAGTTTTCTCTCATAATGTTATCTTGCAGCGCATCCGGGAATCGAAGGATGCACTCCGAATTATCGTAAGACAAATGACAAACGTGTATAAACGCGCAGTTTATAGTTAACGTAACATTTATTGAGATGATATTTTTTTTTTCAGTTCATGCTTCGTTTAAATATTAGGAAGGAAATTATACATATTATGTACTGGAGTTAAACATAATAAAGAATAAATGTAATTTTATTGATCGTTCCATAGTGGTAGAAAGAAATATTAATTTTGGAGTCAAGAGTGCAGGATGACATTCCTAAATAAATGTGCGCAGGCATATATGTTTACATACATTTATTCTGTTCTCTTTATTACATATAATATATGTTTAGTTAACCCTACCATTGAAGAGAATCTATAGCTGAATAGAGTGAAAAATAGCGCGATCACGTAATGAGCTCAAACGCCAAGAGAACACTGCATTCACAGAAACTCGGCGTTCAAATCCATCGTAACACGATTCACTGAAAGATTACTGGTTCAAGAAATTGGCGAAACTATTTTCAACTAATCGGATCATATAGAAGAACATAAAGAAGAAGACCGTACAAGCATGCGAGTCCTGTGAAAGTTAATTCCTTGCCAGTAGTTATATTTTAACACATACGTCCTTCGAGTACAATTAACTTAATGTCTTTATACGAATTACATTATTATAGCAACTTCATTCTCGAATACTATTATTTCTTTTTTTCTTTTTTTTTTTTGATACAGAAATTTGTAATAATTGTACAGTCAAGATTGAATAAAAAGAACTTTTCGATCTTATACTGTCGGTATTAAAATAGATTTATTCTAATTAAATTTTAACTAAACACGAACCATTCAACGTTACCATTATAGCTTTTCTTTTTTATTATCTAGTCACGCTCGTTAATTGTATGCCTCTTTCCATTTCCTCCCAATAATCGTAATTATAAATCCTTGAATGATCGTAATTATTAACAGAAAACAACGATCTATAATATACGCGCAAATTAACATAGACATGGTTACTGTTCTCTCTCTCTCTCTCTTTCTCTCTCTCTCTCTCTCTCTCTCTCTCACGTTGATAATGCCTGTACGTCCGAACGAAAATAAAATATATGATAAATGTAATATGTATGTGTCCCACCGGACATTCCAGTCGCGGACACCTGTATATCATCGTTATGCCGATATTATATATGAATCATATGAATTGCCGATCATCCACTTCTCATTACATCCTAAATCTAGCTTCACAGATGTTCGTCGAAGGTTCGAAACATTCGAGCTAGACGTGGAAAAATAATCTATTGTTGCGAACGTCGTATAATGTTAGTATTCCGCACACTCGTACGTATTTACATACATACATGTACACACGGGACACGTTTCACTCAGTAATTTCATTTTTATATAATCTAAAACGATCGAAAATCGTGCTGCTTCGAAATTTGATCGATGTCAAACAAATAATTTCATTTTCTCATTTTTTTCTTTTTGCGTCTTTTTATTTTTTTTCTCCTTTTTTTTTTTTTATTGGCTGGATTTTCTTTTGATCGATTTCCTTTGAAATGGAATTACACACGCATCACGTAAATTTATTTAGTTGAACACAGGAAAGTATGAAATTGAGTATTTGAGCAATAGATCTTTCTTTC